ATTATTCTCCAATGCCACGTAAGAGATGGGAAGGCAGAACTTTGCCTGCAAATTTCCTCTCCTGTAAGCGCCTCTCCTACTTCTCTCTATGACTTTCTTCTTGTGGAGCACACAGCAGTGGGAAATAAAACTGCTCGTTCAGATGTTGGCATCAGCTGTGGGTGCAACATAATTATGCCTTCTTTGATCCTAAAATAGCAGGGCAACTCCAACACGAGGAGTCTGCAGAGGGCCAAGGCCAACTTTTAGAGTTCCTCTTGTGCCAATACTGCATGTACCAGACAGAGGCTCAGAGCGTCTGCCCTTTCAAAGCATGCAAAGTTGTCTACAGTCTACAGTCTACAGAAACAATGTTTTCTGGACTATCTCAATACTATCTGAAATCTGGGATTCCAGAGAAAACATAACCATAGGTGCTGTGAATGGTGGGGTGGGGTGGGGTGGGGCGGGGGTGGGGGGAATCAGAGAAGGACCCTGAGTTTGAGCTCTGAGGGACTTCTGGTGGTTCCCTCACTGTGAGATGTGAAGCTACAAGGCATTAGGCAGAGGGCCTTCTCAGTAGTGGCACCTGCCCTGTGGAATGCCCTCCCCTTAGATGTCAAGGAGATAAACAACTACATGACTTTCCAAAGACATCTGTATCAGGAAGTTTTTAATATCTGATGTTTCATTGTACTTTTATATTCTGTTGGAAGCCACCTGAAGAGGCTGGGGCAACCCAGTCAGATGGGTGGGGTACAAATAATAAATGATTATTATTATTAGAAACAGTTGCTGCTAAGTTTCAGCTGAGAGGGAGGAGAGCCCTGGGTATGTTGAATGCAGACATAGTGCAGTGCCAGGCAGGCTACATGCAGCCTCTGGTGGGTTTGGGCTGAGGACATCACTGGTTTGTACCTATGCTGTTGGCCATTTATTAGCAGTGCCTGGTGAATCAGCAAGGCACATGCATGGTGCTGCATGATCTATTTCCCACATCCTTATAATAACCTTGAGAAGCGGGGTTCTGGCTGTGGCTCTTTTACTTGTTATTGGTATTCCCATTTTACAAAATGGAGAGCAACAGAAGGCAAGGGAACAATGGCTTGTCTAAAATCACCTGGTCGTGACCAGCAACTACCCCACAATAACTTCAAAGGAGATGGGAGGTTCCAAAAAGATGGTGGCTTTAGGCTCTCTAGACCAGCAGGTGGCTTTTATAGTTCTGCATAAATAGGAAAGCTATTTAGTTCGTCCTCTACATAATTCATAGATTCTACATTTTTTCATTTCGGTTAAAAAGATGACTTTGTTTCCATTGCTTGTCTATGTGGTATAGAAAATAAATATTCATTCCCTTCTCCAGACCAGGACACCTGTACAAACATTGCTATCTGTCTCCAGATAAGAAATAGAAGTCCATGGTTGTTAGGAACATGCTAGGTAGTGCCAGCTCAGAGAGAATTAAAGGAGAAAGACGGCCAAGAAAATGAGTCCATGTGGAGAAAGAGCAGGTTTGATCTTTGCTATTGACATGGTGCTTCAGGATCAAAGTGGTGCTAGCTGCCACACACAACCTCAGCCGAAGACATTGGTGAAATGGCTGAGGAGAGCCCTTGAGTTGCAGAGGAAGATCTGCCACAGAATTAGAATTCTTGACCATATGAGACAAGGAAAAATTTAACTTGTTTGTAACCCTAATGGTAGCAAATGGGAGATTTGACAGCAGATGCCTTATATTAAATCCATTTATATACACTCCTGATCTACGTCTTTATTCTTGACAGCACTGTCGCCAGCGCTGTGACCTATTCACGTTTCACAGAAGGGGAATTGAGGCTGAGGGACAGTGACTCACCCTTATCCTCATGGATAAGGCTGTCAATGGCTACTAGCTATGACAGCTGTGTTCTCTGTTCACTATGTGAACAGTTGCTGGGACTTGAAAGTGAGGAAATCACTCTTGCCATGGGAGGCTGCTTGTGGGCTTCCCATGTGAGAACAGAGCTCTGGACTAGATGAACCCCTGGCCTGATCCAGCAGCTCTCTTATTATGCCCTAGGCAACCAAGGGATAGGATGACTGAAGTGGGATTTTGAAGGTTCCTGAAGCCAGGCCAAGTGTCTGCCCCTTTGCTGAGGAAGCTGAAGAAGAGCTTGTGTCTGGGATGGTCATTTGTGAATTGTCAAAAAAGACAGCACGTGCACCATTAAAAGGGGACACAGATTTGGGAGAGGGGGAAAGGAATTGCGTGTGCTCGTTTTTATGTGCAGATGCAAATTAAGAAAGAATTACTATAATTTTAATATAAATATAATACATAGGGACAAGAATGAGAGCAGGGGAGCTGTGTGACTTCTCAGCATACACTTCAGCAGCTGCCATTGGTGGCTTCCTTCTTATGGGTCTTTCTTTTGAAATTGGGCATGGACTCTTCAAATGGAGAACTATCCTCTGTCACCTCTTCAAAGACAGGAGCGTCCCATTCTCTGGAAAACAGGACACATGGTCATTCTATGACCATCACAGCTTTCTTAAACCATGATTCAAACTATGATTGCAAGAAGGCATGTTTCTAATATGAAATTGGAGATGGGAACATCCAAATGCAGTAAACCTAAGCAGCACATAATGGAGGACATAAAGATTGTTTGTAAGGCCAGCTGCACAGCTCCTTAATTCAGGTGGGAAAGAAAGCAAATGTTTACTTAATGTTCATATGGCGTGGGAGTTAAAAATAGCATTAAAGAGCTAGCATTGCTCTTTAACCCAGCTCCAAAGTCCCTGAGAGCGCTTTTAAAAATAAGCAATTTAAATAATGATTTACAGTTGCTATCATCTCAGGATGCCCTCTTCCTTATATTAGTCAAAGTGCAACATTCTATGGGAGCTTTAGAAAGGCATCTTGCCTTCTATAACTTTGGCCACAACAGTAAAGAGAAATATTGAGAAATAACAAAATAACAAAATCTCCTTGAAGAGCCAATAAAGGACAATGTATTCCTGGATCTGAAAAAGAAATAAAAGAGGGTAGTAGGCACTTGATTTAGTTCTTCCCTTCTGATCTCTAGAAACAGTCAGTAGTTTGTACATGGATATATTTATATTATCTCTAGCAGGATTTCTAGAAGATGTCATAGGACTCCCAACACATACCAGTGTCATAATATATCATTGCAAAGCCTCAAGCCAACTTAACCTCATATCAACTTGAGGTTATCATAGTTTAACAGACATTCTTACACAACTGCCAACAGCTGAGTGGGACGGATTCAGTACAAAAAAGGAAAGAGAAACAACTTTGGACCAGCTGCTGTAAACACATAAAGCAGGACCAGCTTGTCTGAAGTACAGCATTAAAAGCATATCAGTGAACTATGGACATATTACAACAGCAAAATATTATGGGTGCATTTAGATATGGGGAGTATTAGTTTTCCTGGTTATAATGCTAGTGTTTCTGTCCCAGAATCTAATATTCCTTTAACACCATAACTCCTGCTGCATTGTGAACTGTGGCTTTTTGATAAATATACCACCATGCTGTGCAAAATTTCATTCACGTCACAAAACCTTGGCCATATTGCCACCCTTTATGTGAATGCATGCTTCTGTTCTGTCATGATTCGCCCATAAAAACAGAAGAAAAGAACTGGTTACCACTCCAAATTTGTGATCCATGAAAATAATGGAGAAATTGCAGTACAAAACTCCAATGATTTTCTGGGTTGCAAATCAGTATTTTTCTGTACGCAATGAACAGAAATGAGCACTATTGTATAAGATCTGCCAGTGCGTTTCCTCAGTCAATTGCTAGTTCCCATATCCCCATCCATGTTTTGCAGCCAGCATTTCTCCACTATCACATTTCTTTTGTGCTGTGTACAGACATATTTAATTCACAAATTATTTCCCAACAAAATGGAGCTTCCCCCCCCCCAGCAAATGTGAATCTCAGTACATTAGCTTCACTTGAGGCCAAACTAGATGCGATGTTTAATAGGCGACTGGAGGTTGCATTTGTAGCATTGATAGGGGGAAATTTCAATTGGAACCCTGGCAAGTGGGGAAGGGGGTTAACCCCTTCCTCCCCTGCTGTAGTCTCAAAGGAAATGATCCCCAAAACTTTGAGCCCTAGGTCCACTGGAGGGACCTAGCAGGAAGCTTTAGCACAGCCTTAGTTTTCTGAAGAAAAATACTTCTAAGCATGTTCCTCCATGCCTCTTTATCCCAGCTATTCTCTGGTGCGGTCTTTTAAACCATCATGGAAGATGCTAGCACCAGAAAGAAATACAGGTGAGGGTTAGTAGCTGCCTCATCATCCCACTACAACAGGAAATACAAGGTACAGCATAGATCACTGGGTAAGCTGGCAGCTCCATAAATCCAGGAAGGTTTTCCCACCACAGCTTCCCTGCTTTGCTATGTGGGCACAGAATGAAACTGATCGCAGCCATTGCTGTTTTACTGCAAATGGAAAATCTGCTTTTTTGGGTGGTCTGAAGGCCCAAGTTCTAACACATCCTTCATAGCTTCCCCCCGTGACATTTCCAAGAAGTCAAGGCAGAGAAAGCTGATCTTATGAAGAGCACAGATGACTGAATCTTCATGAAAAGCCTTTTGCAGAGTCTGGCAAGAGCTTTACATAAGAAGCTTCGCCACACGCTTTTAGCAGAGATTGGGAACTTCTATGTAGGGCAAGGGAATGAATATTTGCAAATGACGTTTCCTCCTCCCAGTCATAACTTAGCCAGACAAGTCAGTGGAGCACTGGCAAGCAGAAGCTGGAATGGCAGGAACTGAAAGCTATAAGGAAGAACCCCTTGAAGGGGATAGAAGAGGGACTGCACAGAGCTGATTTCACAAATCTTAGCCCTGGAAAGATGCTTCAAGTACAGGCAGAGCTGCACTAAAAGACAGGAGGCATCTAACCTGTGGCATATGCAACACCCTCTCCTCCACCTGCGCTCCCGTAGACAGAAATAGAAGGAAGTTGTAGTGAATGGTCATGGCTGTAGGGGAGGGTTGTGGCTCAGTGGTGGAGCACCTGCTTTGCATCCAGAAGGTCGCAGGTTCAATTCCTGGCATCTCTAGGTAGGGCTTGGTAAATCCTAGAGTACCACCACCAGTCAATGTAGACAGTGCTGAGATAATTGGGATGCTGGGCAGTTTTGTTAGAAGGCAGCTCCCTGTGCTTTCATATAATAATAATAATTTATTATTTATCCCCCACCGATCAGGCTGGGTTTCCCCAGCCACTCTGGGCTGCTCCAAACAGAATATTAAAAACACAATAAAACATCAAACATTAAAAACTTCCCTAAACAGGGCTGCCTTCAGATGTCTTCTAAAAGTCAGATAGCTGTTTATTTCCTTGACATCTTATGGGAGGGCATTCCACAGGGTAGGTGCCACAACTGAGAAGGCCCTCCGCCTGGTTCCTTGTAACCTCACTTCTCACAGTGAGGGAACTGCCAGAAGGCCCTCGGTGCTGGATCTCAGTGTCTGGGCTGAATGATGGAGGTGGAGATGCTCCTTCAGGTTGAGATGCTGGGCCGAGGCCAGCAATCATGCATCCATTATAGCTTCCAGTCCCAAATTAAATGATTTTGTTCATTAATATATTTTTATGCTACCCTTCAATAAAACATCCAGGACAGCTTACAACATGCTTTTAAAACAAAACAAAAAATAAGAATAATAAATAAGAAAAGCTAAGACATATCATCAGCAATGACAAAAACAGTATTTGTTCACTAAATTAATAGAGCAAATGATCCTGCAAGATAGTAGCTAATATATATCCCTCTCTATAGAGAAGTGAAATTGTTTTGACCACTGGTGCACTTTACTCTGAAATCCAAGCACATGTTCATTGTTTATCTGGGAAGAGTTCTGACATTGCTTTGAGCACAGCTTATTAACCACCTTAATGCATTCATTAAAATCAGGGTGATTATCATACTGCTTAATAACATGAACTGTGATAACATTCCCAACAATCTCCCTGTGGAAGAGGAGAAATTATCTGCTTCTGTATGAGTGACCCTTTGCTACAGTTCCTCCCTTGGTTTTTGATGCATCCAAAACTCCCATTATCGCTGACCATCGCCCATGCTAGCTGCAGCTGAAGGGAGTTGCAATCCAAAGTGGAGGGTGACAGGTTAGCAAAGGCCGACAAGAGGCATGCTTGCATGGCTCATAAGGACAGCAAAAGTCCTGGGTTCCCTTGAGCAGAGTTATTTTTATTTATTTATTTACTGAATTTATATACCACCCTATGCACAGAGGTCTCAGGGCAGTTCACCTGCTTCTCCAGCTGACAAAAGGAGGGAAAGGACCACAGTTTTCACTGATTTCCCCTGTGCACCCTGAAAAGCTGCTCTGGAACATTGGGGAACCTTCTGGAATAGTGTGGGAGGCGAAAGGGGCCATGGGCATAACCGGGGGGGGGGGGCGCGAAGGGGGACAGCTGCCTCCCTAAATGAAGTAAATAAATAATACTTTACTAACTGAACAATTGTGTCCCAGATAACTTGGTTCTGCCCCCCCCCCCAATAAATCCTGGCTAAACCAATGGAAAGGGCTGCAGAAAGATCGAAGAATAAGTCAAAACCACCTCTTAACTTTCCTCCTGTGAGTCCCCGCCCCCGCTGGAGCTCAGTCTCTCTTCTTTGAGTACAGAAAGAGCCCTTCCATGCATTGAAGGAGCACTCTGAAACCAACCCACAGGTATATGAGAAACTAGCCAAGAAAAATATGTGTTGCCTCCCCCCCCCCAAAAGGTATTCTAGCAGCTCCACCCCATGTATATTTTATAGGAGCTTCAATAAAAAAACATTACAGAAACATATTCAGTTCCCAGCGGACTTCCCCTCATCTACTTTCTAAAAATGATTACATAATGATAATCACTTCTGTTGAAGGTTTGTACCAGCCTGAGTGTCACTGCTGATGAGCATAAGCCGCTGTCCATGTCAGCTCAGCAGCGTGAGACGCCATTATTCAGTTAGGCCAGATGATGAAACCATTTCGCGATGGCTCAGTCGGGCTCGCCAATTTGCATGCAGTGAGGTAACACATTCAAATCACTGCCTCACATGTAGAAATTCCTCCAAGCTGGAAGGGAGATTGCAATGGATCTCTTCTGCCTGGGAAAGCGTAGAATTCTAAGAGATGCTGGCCCTTTTGGGGGGATTACATGTTGGGAATGGGTCATGTGAGAGGAGGGGCAGTGTTGATGCATACACTAGCTCCGCCCCCTGGTTCCATCCTCTTCCAAACTCATGGAAGGTGACTGTGTGAAACAGGGGGAGTTTTGTATCTGTGGAGGTGCCCTGCAAACCAGAGGTCCAAAATGCATGTGGAGCTTTCATCAGATTGCATACAAAGTCTGCACACACCCCAAACCTAGGTGACACAAGTTGACCAGTCAGATGGCAGCAGATGATGGAGCACCTGGGAGACCATGGACAAGCTAAGACTCACTGGGCCTGATGCTGGTCATTGTGGCATCCCTTCTTTCTTCTTCTTATTAAAAATGTTGCACAGTCAAGGGACGGCAGACCAGCCGTCCCCAACCTTGCACCCTCCAGATTCTTCAGACTACAAATCCCATAATCTCCAACCACCATGGCCAGCTTCACGCTTTCCTTCGCTCCCTCCTTCAGGGCCTCCAGAAGCATCATCTCCTTTCTCTGTATAGTACCATAACAAAAACAGCAACAGCATCAGGAACCCACATTTCTAGCCATACACTTATAGCAATCATTTATTGGGTCTCATTACCATAGCAACTGATCGTAGCATCTCTGATAGTGATGTTGCTTGAGGGTAATTATCTGAGAGAGGAGTTAGAGTTGGATGCAGAAAAATAATGGATGGATGGTCGCCATGTGGTAGGAAATCAGCTGATACTGAGAGACACTCCTTACAATTGAAAGACTCATACTTCTGCTGCTTCTCTCTCTCTCTGATTTCTGGAACATCTTGTGAGGTTTTTTCTTAGCCTAACCACACCTAAGAGCTGCATACTTTTCACACCTTAACACATGCAGGTCTAAGATTGCCAATCAGCCAGATGAAACATAATTGTACGTCTATCCAACATGTTCCACTTTCACTCAGATTAATCTGAATCAAACAAAGATTAACTCAGTTACGTATCACACTATTCCTGAAAGTTGCTCACACTCTGCCTTTTTAGCTAGTGTGGAAGAGAGTTTCATTTTACAGTTTGTTGTCAGTGACTGCTCCCCTCTTAGGTGGAAAGTGGATCACATATTTTATAAATTAATGTTAAAGGCTAGTCAAGCACCAAGGATGCCTTTCTTTGTGCACACATCAAATTCTTAGTAGGAATTTAAAAGTAATTTAAAAGCCATAAATACAGGTTGAAATTGTGTACCTTCTTTGTTGTTGTTTAGTCGTGTCCATGACCCCATGGACCAGAACACGCCAGGCCCTCCTGTCTTCCACTGCCTCCCACAGTTTGGTCAAACTCATGTTTGTAGCTTCGAGGACACTGTCCAACCATCTCGTCCTCTGTCGTCCCCTTCTCCTTGTGCCCTCCATCTTTCCCAACATCAGGATCTTTTCCAGGGAGTCTTCTCTTCTCATGAGGTGGCCAAAGTACTGGAGCCTCAGTTTCACGATCTGTCCTTCCAGTGAGCACTCAGGGCTGATTTCCTTAAGAATGGATACGTTTGATCTTCTTGCAGTCCATGGGACTCTCAAGAGTCTCCTCCAGCACCATAATTCAAAAGCATCAATTCTTCCGCGTTTTCTTCTTCAGCCTTTTTTATGGTCCAGCTCTCACTTCCATACATCACTACTGGGAAAACCATGGCTTTAACTATACAGACCTTTGTTGGCAAGGTGATGTCTCCGCTTTTTAAGATGCTGTCTAGGTTTGTCATCGCCCTTCTTCCAAGAAGCAGGCATCTTTTACCTAGGGCTAAGCCTCACTGAACACAAAAGGACATACTTCTAAGTAGATATGTACAGGGTTACGATGTTCAGTAAAAAGAGTAAGATATGCTTCATACAAAGGTGCTGTGAGAAGAAACTGAGTGAAAGGCAAAAAAGTAGATTAGAATGGCATATACTGTACAGTTGAAAGACACAACTGGATGGCTTAAGAGAGCCTGCCAGTTTTGATTATAAGCAAATACCAACATTATAAATAACATTATAAAAAATCACGGAAGTTTTGCCTTGGAAAATGCATTTGTGGCCTAAAAGTTGCTGCTGTCGATTGGCCATCTTATATATTGAAAAGAAGCTTTGAAAACTGCACAATATCTAATTTCATTTGTATTATTGACCTGTGTTCCAAAATCTCATTACATTACAAAATTGAAAAAAAGCTGTGTACAAGTTTTAACAGAGACTTGTTTGCTTTTAAGGATTATTTATAACCGAATAATTAAGAAATGCATTGATTTGAAAAATAGGCATGATCCTCTTCATAAATCTGATACAAGAATAGAATGTCCATGAAGAATATTTCATACATAATCACCAAAGAGCAGTTATTTAAAACTGACAGGGAATTTGGGGAAGGAAACACTCTGGCATAGCCTACACCCCAGCTGCCAAGTTAGGAATGCCCTGCTATTAATTTGGGACCTGGCATTTACAAAATAACTTTATAGTTCTTGCTTTGTAATATTGGCATGACAAATAATTGCTGCATATGTCTGCACAGTTCCTTTTCCAACTGTGTGACAGGAAAGCAGTCTTGACGTTATTAATTAAGGGATCCTTGTTATAAAACAGTGTGCATTACAAATAACAATAAAGACGCATCTTCCACACATGAAAAAGTTTCTTATGTCATAAGTGTCATAAAGAATCATGAATAGAATTTTGCACTCTCAGATTCTCACCTGCTCTTATTTTTTAAAGTTTCTAGCCCTCATGCCCACAGAAAAAGCTTTTAAAATATGTGGGTCATCTGCCTGTCCACGTAACCTCTGTACATGGGATGAGGGGCGAGTGCCATCTTGTTCTTTGCCTCAGGTAGCAAAACAGTTGGAAATAAGGAGGGGAGGCACTCCCTGAAGGCCAAGTCACTCATTCCTGATGCAAG